GTTATATATTTAAAATATATAAAAAATAAAATGAACAAACAAAGCAAGAGGTTTACTTTAAATCAAATATAAAGTTGTTGAGCTGATTTATTTTTAACCAGGTAAAGAGACTCAGAAATATTTCAGGTAATTTTTCCAGGGACATAGGTTAGGTTTGATTTTAAACAATCTACATTTATAAACAAAAATAAATAAACAAGTAAATAAAATAATGAAAATCCCCATCAGTTCTGTTTTGGAGTTTTGATGTTCTTCTTGTGACAGTTAAAGGTTTGTAAATCCTGATGAAGAGAAGATGATGTAACCCTCCTCTTCATCATCACAGCTAACATTTAGCTTGTTTCAGCTAATGTTTACTGATAGCATTCGATGCTAACGCAGCGGCGTACTTCCTGTTGTGGAGGTGACGTACTTCCGGTCCGTCTGCAGCAGGGAGGCTGAGCAGCAGYAGGGGGAGCAGTTGGCTGGCAGCGGCTCGGATCGGGAGAAGCTGGATCCACCGCTGGACAATGTGTGAGACCGTCGGAAAGTTGATCGAGCAGCCCGCGGGATGGAAGCGGAGATAGTTTGACCCACATCGGAACCGTAGCTCAGCGTGAACCGGGCCGGACGAGCTGGTGGTCTTTGTTCGGAGGACGCGGCCGCAGCGATGGGAACACGGCGCTGAGGAACGGGAGAAAAGATGGGAGTCTCGCTGCGGAGCCTGTTGTTGTTGTGGACTTTTTGTTGTCTCGTCCGAGGTGAGTGTGAGTCCTCCCGGGTCTGTAGCTGCCCCGTGTCCCCGCGCTTCGGCAGAAGTAGGCTGTGTGTCCCGGTGTTTGCGGTGTTTGGAGCCGGGAAGCCCTGCGGCTTTCCGTCTGGATGTTTGGAGCTTCGGGCCGAGCGGAGCTAGCGTTAGCTTCCTGCTAGGAGCCGCTCAGCCCGGGGTTTGTCTGGGCTTCATCCCCGCACAGACTCATGGTAGCCCCGCTGCTGCCCTCCGACCTGTCCGTTCCAGCTTTATTTAGTCCTTTAAAATCATTTTCAGCTTGTTTGTTTCTCTCTTTAACTTCCTCCATCTGGCTCTGTCGGAACAACAACTGCAGCTCTGGAAGCTAGTTAGCATCAGGAGCTAACAGGTTGGAGCTAAAAAAGATGATTATTGTACAGATTAAATTTACCTGAACAGGTAAACTGACTTATTGTAATTAAAATGTTCTGTTTAAATGTGAGCAGGTGGAGACAGACAGCAGGGCAGAGTTACAACAATACACAATAATAATACACACATACCTGCAGAAACAAACACACACACACACACACACACACACACACACACACACACACACACACACAC